ACATGGCTAAACTGTGGCTTTAACCCAAGGTGTTTAACCCAAGCAAGCAGGGGAGAGGGGATGGGGGTGACAGGGGACTGTGCCCCTGTGGGACCCCCTTTCTGTGTGGCTGTAAGCAGGGTTGTGGGGTCACTGGACTCACTGCTCCCCCCACCCCGGGCACTCTCTGTGGGGGCACAGGGTGTGATGGGCACCCACGGGGTAGCCTGGGGTGCAGTGGGGGGCTGCCTGGCCCTGGCTCCCCCCGGTTTGGGGTTCAGGGTTGGTCCTGGGGCAGGTGCTGCTGGTTGCTCCCGGCGAGGAGGAAGATGCTGACAGAGGGAAAGGCCCGTTCCCAGTGGCGGGTGTGTTGGCGTGGCTTGGGGTTGCACAAGCTGGGAGCCCTCAGGGAGGTTGGGGAGGTCACTGGGAGATGCCAGGCAGGACCAGTCAGCTCCCTGGCACCCCTCAACCACGCCACGTGTGTTGGGGACAGCTTGGCTGTGTCCCCCCTTGGAAACATCACCCAATGCCACGGCCACCTGCGCTGGAGGTGACACCGGGGCATCACCCCAACAGTCATCCCAGGAACTGGGGTTCCCTGGGGGTGCAACAGCGCAGGGCTCACCCCAGTGTCGTGGCAGGTTGTGGCATGGTGGTGGCCCTGGATCTGGCCCTGGGAAGGTATCAGTGCCTTGGTGTCCCGTGGATGTGTCACCGGTGGGCTCGGGGAGTTCTTTTGGCCAAGCAGGGGGGCCCCAGGTTGCAGGGAAGGAGACACTGGCTCAGGACATCTCCTGTCCCCAACTCAGATTGGGGGGACACACAGAGCCCCCCTCACCCCTGCCCCTCTCTGCCTTCCAGGACAGGACTATGTGCTCTCCCGCCCACCCCCTCAGTTCGGCTCCATCTACCACGTCCGAGGTAACAGGACCACACAGCCTCCTTTGCTGGGGGGGAGCAGAGGATGCTCAGCACTGGGCAGGACCAGGCTGTCCCAGTGCCAGACTGGGGCAGCTTTCCACAGCCAAGTGCCTCTCCCTGTCCTGTCACCCGTGGG